GAGAGACGCTGTGGAACACAGCAGCGGCATAGAGGCACCACTGAGGACAGAAGATCGTTTGAGCAAGCATAAGCAAGTTTGCTTCAGGTTAACAGCCAGTGACAGGTAGGCCTCAGCCCTCCACCTGAATGAAAGACACAGGTAGCACCTCCCTGGAGCATTTCTGTCTGTAAGCTGCAGGTTGGCAGACAGCTGCTGACAGCTATGGGGCTAAGCTAGCAGTTCCCAGGCAGGATCATCTTGCTTCCATTCTAGAAGGGCCACTCTCCTAAAGCCACACACAGGTTTTACTTCCTTGTTGTGCTTGTGTAAAGCCTGCTGTATGACAGGAAAGTATGACAGTAGGTAAATACTGAACTAGCACACAGTAAGATCCATAAGAAACATTCCTGATTTTATACCTGCTTCTAATCTGATTTCATCTCCTGCATTCTGAATTGGCCACAGAATTACAGACACACAGCACAGCCTACAGAGTGCAGCAAGAAAAGTCTACTGCACTCCAACAGCTGGTGGCAAGCCGCTGTCCCCATCCAAACCACAAGTGCCAAAGACCAAATATTCTGCTTTTTGCTTACTGCTAATGAAGCTGCTTCACTTCATTAAAAGCAGCTTACCATTGTATCTACTCACTCTGATTAATTAACCTCTGGTTAAAGTGAATGAGCACTTGATTTGAGGATTCTATTAATGTGACATTGGTGAACCACTTGCATACTTCCATCCTTTTCCTGTGATTCTTCATTCTCCCTCTACCAACAATATCTTATTGGGTTGTTTGAATTGTCACTCCCCAATACACTTCAAGCATACCACAAATGCTCTTAAGAAGAATTAAGAGAAGATAGGTACCACAGCCCAAAACTCATCCAACGCTCAATTTCCCCGCTGAAGTGTGTCGATTAATAACTTCTCCTTCTCACTGTTCTGACCACAGGCTTTGGAAAAAAGAGCCAGGTAAAAGTTGAGGGGGAAAAACAGCACCATCAGTCCATACATTAATTCATCTTTCCTGAATAAAACACAGCTTTAAACATGATGCACAAATGGCAGTCAGTCCCATCCAGATCCTCAACTTTCTTAGAGAGCAAAGCACTTTCTCCCAAGCCAAACAACATGTGCAGTATAGGAATAAAGACAGCTTCTGCTACACTGTACGCCTACAGATTTTACAGTTGCATGCTACCGCCAAATTCTCAATTTCTAGCAGCAAAAAAGCTTATGTTACCCTTCTTTAGCCAAAAGCCTGAAGATTGAAATTAGAGAGCTGCTCATTTTGCTGGCAAAAGTGTTTTTCTTCATATGCCTCATTTTTGTCTCTATTCAATTTATTTTGTGGATATCCAAAAGTTGATCTCCTGAGGAGCTGAAGAAAATCTTCCCTTTTCCCCCCCTTTCTGTTCCATAAAAGAGAGCATCCTTTCTTCTGCAAAAGTACTCGTGGAGAGGATGGAAAGATCATTAGGTCTAAAATCATAGGAGGTTCCTGGCTTGAGGGAGGGGTAGGGGGAAATCAAAGTGCCTGAGTCATCTTAAGACACAGGTCTCACTTCCTTCTCCATCAAGGGAAACTATACCTAAAACGCTACTGAAAGTACTGAAAACTATGGCTCTTTCAAGAAACGAGCATGCTTATATTCTACAGCTGATAACCTCAACACAAACCTGGTCCAACCAGACAGCCCTGCACGTGAGAAGGCACCAAGGGGAAGTCTGGTTTGCATCACACACAGTTACCAACAGACTAGGAGTCACTGATGTGGTTCATCTGGCTTTCAAGGCCATCAGCACTAGACCCAGACATTTCAGACCACATGTTACAAAGCACTTCCCAGTAGAAGTTTACTCTGTTCAAAATCAGCATAGGCTTTCCTAAACAGAATTTCTCTACAACATGCAGCTTCCCACTGACCTGCCTTGCATCTGACTGAGAGATCCTAACTCAAAACTTCTCAAAGGACTTGGGAAAAAAAAAAAAAAAAGAGGGGGGGAAGATCTGAAACAAATACCTTGTTGAAATGCTCGATGAAGGCTAAGGAGTTACGACCTTGATTTATATATGAAAAGAGAAATACAAACAAAGAGGGTAAGTTTCCCACAGGCAGGTGAGTTGTTAGAGGCACATTGCTAACAGCCAGCCTGGCCACCTGAAATGCTAGCTGGCAGCAGTGTCATCTTTCCCTTGGAGATGGCTCAGGTTGATACAAATCAGAGGGCAAAAAAAGACAGGGAAGGGGAGGAATAATGAGGACAAAAGTTCTTTCAAAATCAGCGCACAATTTCTGAAACCATCTGAAGCGTGATATGGTTGCTCTTTCAAGGAACAAAAACCCGAAAACAATCTCTGTACACATTTAGTTAAAGACAGGGAGGGAAGCTCAGCATTAAGTGCAGCAAATGACACAGCAATCTGTGGGCCACCAGCCAACTTGATCCACTGCTGCCCTGTCCCTGCCCTCTCTTCTGTTCCCATTCCACACTTGGATCAGGGCAGGAGCCTCCCTGTCCCCACCTTTCCTGCCTCTGCTCTGGTGCGACACACAGGCAACAGTTTCCTTTTGCTTGGGTTCTCCAGTGTTGCTGTCACAGCAGCCTTTCCTCCCCAAGCCTTTCACCCCAAGGAATGCAGACAGCATATGGTATTTGATAATACAGACTTAAAACACCACACATTTGCAGACAGTTAAAGCACATTTGACAAAGGTACTGCAAAGGGGCTAAACAGCGTGCATTTCCTGGGCGCAAGCTCCTGCAGCAGCCCCATAGGGGACAGACACTGTGCTACACAGGGGTGGCCTCCATCACCTTGCTGTCATAGAAAGTAGAGCAGGGGCAGTCTGACAGTGCGACTCAGGAACTGCGTGCTGAGAGCAGCAAGTGAGGACTCCCCTCTAAATTTCCAGTGCAGTGTGAGATGGAAAAGCAGCTATCTCCAGCCAAAGAGAAATGGCAGCAGAGAAGCCCAGAAATGGAACAGAGCGCCTCTGCTGCAAAGCACTATGTGAGATGTGTGATGGGTGGAAGGCAGTAGCAGCAGCTGATGTCCCGTGGTCCCACAAAGCAGCTTGCAGAGTCTTTGCTTCCCACAGCCCCAAGCCCAGGGATTTTGAAGGCATTCAGTAACTGTACAAAAACTCAGCTGGAGCTATGAATCTTAACAACAGCTCTCCTTCACACCTGCAGCTCAACCAAGGCTCCCACATCTCACTGTGCCCCAAGATTGTGCATTTCAAAAGAGTTTTACAGAAGCCTTCACTTGCCTGAGAGAAAATGGGTTCAAAAGCCACCAGGCAGCTTCTGTGGGCTCCTCCTCACATCACACCACAGCAGCAGAGGCAATGACTGCCTGTGACAGCACAGTTGGCTGCATTATTTAGTCTGGCACCAAGGAGAAAAGCTATCAGCCGTTTTTAAGTTAAATTCAGGGAACCAGCTGAGGACCAGGAATTGCCATTTCTAAAGTGAAAGAAGAGTGTAAACAGCCTTTCCATAGTAACAAAGATTAGCAGACCAGAGTCTGACACTCCTCCTGCATTAAAAGATAGGAGACAAAGCGATAGACAGGTAATTACATAGACGGGGCCCTGGGGAAATTGCAAGCTCCTTGAGAACCCTTTAGCTGGTCTGTACGTTTCTCCTTGTCTCCATTTCAGCTGAAGGTCTCCAAGAAACATTTGCCCATTAGGTCATTAGCTTTATTGCAGAAGGTAGTCAGGCAGCTGGTGGCAGCCATTCAATAAAGACTTAGTTTGGCTTAGCACCATCAAGAATGAGATGGAGAATAAGAAAGAGCATCCCGAGGCACATTACCTGTCTGCAGCTTATCCTTTATAAGTTAGTGCACTTAGTCAGTCTGAGGCATCTGACAAATGAACTCTGACAAATCTCACTGGTGCAATTTAAGACATTATTGCATTGCAATGTCTCCCCAAGCCCCTCACAAAGGTTAGTACCACAGAGCAAATCTGCAAGAAAAACATACATCATGCATTGGCCTCCCATACTCCCAAACTAGACAAGTTAGCAGAAGCCCCCTCTCAGTGCTATGCTAAGCTGAACTGCACCAGAGAAGACAGGAGACACTGCCTCCACTACAAGAAAAATTTGCCTCTAACACAAAGTTACAACAGAAAGCAACCTCCTGAAGCACCACTACTTTCAGTTCCCGAGCAACTAACAACCTAAACACCAACGTCTGCTATCAGAGCACATACGCAGTTTGTCCAGCAGCATACTTCAGTTTGCTCAAGCACCTCATTCTGTCCTACGAATCGCGCAACTTTTCTCTTTTGTATATCCTGACAAATTCTGTGGAAGGAACAATAAGGATCACACGTGGATCGCAACATCAGATGTAACTACAACGTTTAATTGCTTAGGAAGTACTACAAAGAAGACGCTGCATTTGAACTCTCACCTACTACATTTTACACTTCTGCCCAAATCTTAAAGCCTGGACAGGTGAGGAACTGCAGACTGCCTTTGACTCTTCACAAAACACACCATTCTGATATGGAGCTGGTGTTCCAGCTGGTTCATATCTTATCCACCAGTGGTGCAAACAGCCATGAAACCACTGAAAACCTCAAACAAGATGGGGTTAAAAATGTAATAGTAGAAGGAAAACCTTATGAGACATTGTTCTTCAAGTTGGCTTATCTTGACCTATCTCACTGTCTTCTCATCTAAGCTATCAGTGAGAAAAAGATTCAACTAGTCAGCAATACAACAGTTACATTATTTATTATTTCCCTGCAAGCATTTAAAATGCATCTCCTCTTTCAGTTTTTGCAGAGGGACTATATCCTGCACCCAGAAATGGAGCAATAAGCACACAAAGCTTCTGTTTGCATCAGACTGTTAAAGACAGCAGAAGGGCAACCTGTGTTAAACGAGAAACTTGTCTCAGCTCTACACAGACAAGCTTCTAACATCACCCTTGCTTCCACAAGAAGAGACAGCAAGTAAAGCACCTCAGAGAACACATCATTACCTCTTACCTTTTGAAGAGGCCGCCGCCAATTAGAACATTCCCGGAGCTTCTAATTCAGCAAGGAGAAGGGGAGGAGGAGCCAAGGGGAAGGAGCAGGGTGTTGTTTTCCTCCTCAGCACAATGGTATTTCCTAAATGGGAAATAACAAAAAAAAAAAACAAAAAAAAAAAAGAAAAAAATTAGGTTTTTTTTTTCCTGTTTGTTTTTAAGAGGCTACAAATTACAACTTCTTGGACAAACTACTGTTGCCTCTCCTTCTCCTGTCCCAAAGCATCAGCTTGAGCTGCCCTGTCTGCCCCTATCATCACCACATGAAGGCATGGATATGAAGTCAGCTACTTCTAAGAAAAATGGAAGTGGATTCACCTACACCAGAATGGGATAAGAATCACAGAATCACAAGAGAAGTGAAACCACTCGTAACTTCTATTTCTTAAGTAACTATTCTACCTAAAACAACATTGAGTCCAGTTATATTGAATCTTACAATTAAAAGCAATGCCAAAATGATGGGAACAGAAACTAAAGAGCCTTCTTGTGAAGGAAGATAACATCTAGAAACCTAGTTTTCTCCTGCTTCACTGCCATAAACCGCGCTCACCTCAGACCGTATCTCAGACACTCTTTACCCCATTCTGACCACGAATTTAAGGAAATTTACAGATGCATAGAATTAATGGGCCCCTCCCTACCTTCAGTACCTGCCTCTGATGAAAGGCAGGCAAATCAAGTGGAAGGATGCATGCAAGCCATTAATGTATTTGAGGAAATGGCAATCCACTCACAGTTTTCCACAGCAGATGAACAAAAAGAAACACATCCATCCAGTCTGTTCTCCATGACATTTTGCTAGCTCATGCTCACATAGAAACTACCCCTTTCTGTCCCATAGAAAATCCAAATGCAAGTCCTGAAAAGAGTTCCCACACATCTCTTCTTCATCCCCCAAAAGACAATTCTCCCACTTGCTTCAGCCCAAATCTTGTTCTCCCCAGAGCAATTTTGCACAAGGGGCCCAACAGATGCAGAACAACAGAAAACGCGGCACTTCCAGAAAAAACATCTCCCTCCAAGCAGACTACGTCTGTCCAATTTCAAGTGGTCACAGTTCCTGCATTTCTCTGGGGGACAACAGCTCTGCTCTTCTCTCCTCCTGTCAGCAAGACTTAAAGCTGCAAGAATAATTCTGTCCAGATTCCCCTCTAGATAGGCGATGATTTAAAGAATTCATGAAGTAACAGTGGCAGTGTAAATAAACAATGAAAAACTAAGTGAAGATCACAGAAAAAAAAACCACAGGAAAAACACGCACTAAGGAGAGAAAGAACGAGATTAGCAACTCAAAGCCTCTTCTGCTTTATTATATTCACCATAAATAGGTCTTGCAACATCCAACAATGCAGAAGGGAACCTGGCATATAACATTTACCTGCTCAGAGCCCTGCCTCCCCAGCCCACTCCCTAAAGGCAAACCTTCCCACGCTGGCTAATTCTATGTCCTTTCTGCCCTACATTCCTCCGAGACACCCCAACTTCTGACAGGCTCCAGCACCCTTTGCATACCATGCAAACAGAAGCTCACAGCAGCAGCACTCAGGCCATTACGTTTCCTCAAGAGGGGGCAGTGCACTTCAGCCCTCTGTGGGAAGGCATGACAAGAGGTGGTCCTCAGTGAGCTGCTCCCAACATCCTCCCATGCAACACTGATGGAGCAGCCCCCACACAGACCAGCTCACTAAACCTACCCCCACCCCCCCCCCCCCCCCAAACACCCTCTAGTTTTCTATCTCGTTTGCATCACTCCCATTTAATTATAAAATCAAAAGGATGCTTTAGGAAGTGCAGAGAGACCCCCAACAGTAGTCAGGTGAAGTCTGCTAGGAGTTGATAGATTGGTTACATTTCAAGTGCTTAAAATTTTACACTTTCATCCTCATACTGCCAAGAGAAAAAACTTAAGTCAATGTATGAGCCTTGGAGGAAGCATATTTTTAGTCAAACATAAAATCAAGGTGGCAAAAAAAAGAAGGCTAAGTGCAAAACTCTGAAGTTTATTAACAGCACCCTCAGAAAGACAGAAATCTGTCACAAGTACCACTTAGCAATGTAGTTTTGACTCAGACACCGCTTCTCTCAAAAAGAAGTGAAATTGTTCTGTTCTCAGATCCTCAGGCAATAAAAATATGAAGTAAAATGAAATGAAGTAACGCATTACCTAAAAGTCAAAATCTAATTGGAGAAACCCAGCAAAATGGCTTATTGTACCATGAGACTTGACGAAGTTTCTGGCAGGACCAGAGATAATCTGTATAAGAAAGTGTCAAAATGTTTTGGGTATACAGCTAGTATGAGAAGGAAACAAACATAAAACTGGGAAACACGGCATGGAACCCAACAAATCGTTGACATCAACAGTAGATAAGTGAAGAGGCATATGTTAAGACAAACACCCTCATATGGCGTGTGAGTCAACTCCTGCAGCAGATTCAGCCAAGATGCTTCCTTAAATCTAGCTTAATAAAAACAACCCTCAATTCCACTAGCCAGATATGGCTTTTCACCATACTTACACCACATCATCTTCTGAGCGATACTTGAACCCAAGGTTAAAACTGGACCAGCTGTTCTAAAATGCTAGCCTGACTAAAAATTAAATCTTCCTTCCAAAGGATCGTTGCCAAATTCATTCCTTTTGGTGCATGATAGAAACATTCTTTCCAGATATTCACTGAAGCTAGTTCACTTCTCATGGTTAAAAAAAAAAAAAAAAAACATTCATGAGATTTATCAGGATGTAATATTCAATTTAATTGATTTTTTGACTGTCCAAGTTCAAAAAGTAATGAGTTTTGGGAAAGCAGCTCCCCTCATTTCCAGCCTAGACCATAGGGCTGGTGAAGAGCTCTTTCCCCAGCTGGGGTCAACAGCAGTTGGGGCACTGCCCTGCTAAAGGGAGGCCCCACCAGTCAGTCAGCTTGGAACACATTTGGGTTTGCTGGATTTCCTAGATCTCTTACGTTTATTACCTCTGTCACAAGAACTAGAGAAAAGAATTAGATCAGAGGCTTCACTGTGTTTAACAGCAACCCTCTCATGCCCCAAAACACACATTCTGCTATAACATAAGGCAAAGCAGGGTTAAAAAAAAAAAAATAAATAGTGCATCATCACCAGCTTGTGCACTTCATAGGGACAAAAAACAGTCTGCTCCAGGTTCAGTCTTTATTTTCCAAGTGGCTACTTCCCTTCAGGTAAAATACATGCTCACTCAGTGTGCACTAATAGAAATAGGTCAAGTTCCTAACGCAGTAAAAAAAGTTATTTTCTTCTGTTCATTTTCTCAAATTCTTCTTCAAGGCTTCATCTAATAAAATAACTATTCTGTGAATATCTACTGAGGAAGAAGTAATCTCCATTACTCCTTGTAGAAAACAAGCAAGTTAAGAATAAAAGAAAAATACTCCTTACCACCATCATGAAATTCTTGCTCAACCTTGGTTAAAACATCTCTTAGAACAGTGCTGTATGTCACACGCTGGCCTCCAGCCCCTTTGCCACTGATGCCCCTTGATGGCACTGGGGGACAAGGCTCTGACTGGGAGGCCAGGCACAGACAGGCTGTGGGCATGTGCTTCCACAGGCCATCTTCTGCACCTGCTGTTTTGAGTTTCCTTTGAGTCTTG